GGGGGGATATTTATATCATACGATCAAGAAAATTTGGTTCCAACAGTTACTTTATATTTTATATACAGAGGAGAGTTTTGTCTAAAGGGACTGCGAGGAGAGTTGTGTTTAAAGGGACTGCGAGGAGAGTTGTGTTTAAAGGGACTGCGAGGAGAGTTGTGTTTAAAGGGACTGTAAGGAGAGTTGTGTTTAAAGGGATTGCGAGGAGAGTTATGTTTAAAGGGACTGCGAGGAGAGTTATGTTTAAAGGGACTGTGAGGAGAGTTTTGTTTAAAGGGACTGTGAGGAGAGTTTTGTTTAAAGGGACTGTGAGGAAAGTTGTGTTTAAAGGGACTGCGAGGAGAGTTGTGTTTAAGGGGACTGTGAGGAGAGTTTTGTTTAAAGGGACTGTGAGGAGAGTTGTGTTTAAAGGGACTGTGAGGAGAGTTGTGTTTAAAGGGACTGTGAGGAAAGTTGTGTTTAAAGGGACTTTGAGAAGAGTTGTGTTTAAAGAGAATGTAGCGAGTAGTTTTTAAGTCGCCTTTCTTCAAAGTGTTACACCAACTTTGTCTGGAACAAGAAAAATATGAAAAAAAATCTATTTCTTCCAAATTGCATTTTTACCTAATTACATTTTTACCTAATTACATTTTTACCTTATTACATTTCCACCTAATTACATTTCTACCTAATTACATTTTAATTTTAATTTATATTTTATCCAGAAAAAGCTTAAAAGGACTGTAAGTTTTATTCCAAGTTGCAAAGATGAGAATGCCCGATTCACAACGGTACCCTCGAAATCTTTATCTGATTAATAATGTGGAGGATATAGTTGTTTTTCTAGGTTTTAAATGTTAAATTTCGATCATTCCTATATGTTTTCCTGCTGTCGAAATGCGCAAGTCACTTTCTTTAGAATCAGTTTTCAAAATCATGAACATTTGATTCATATTTGATCAGACAAAGCTTTGAGGGTACCGTTGTGAATTATAAATAGATGATTAATACTTCAAATTACGGTTACAGACCCTTTAAAGTCCATTCATTGATGGAAATAAAAATTACCAACTTTAAAATCCATGAAAACAATGGTTTAGGTAAATGAAGGGTATCCTTGTTAATTGGTTTAAAATGGCTTCTCTTACAGAAGGAAGCAGGGAGGTTGCATACAATCAGAGAAAATAGAAGAAAATGTGGAGAAAAAGATTGAGGGGGAGGAGTCATAAATACTTCTAAAATTCAAAAAACAACTGGAAAGAAATAGAACATAAAACATTTGTTTTACCATTATGGTCTAGATTTGATCTTTTAACCTTTTATAATTTCTTTAAAGCAATGGCTATATGAATTTTAAGCAATAAAACATTTATTCCTGGATTTTATATTTTTAAAACAATCTTCTTATATCGACTTAAAGGGAGTGTTCAAGAAAATTTAATGGGGTATATAATATTTATAATATATATTATAGACTGAATCCGAATAAAATTTGGTTGAAAACGTTTAAATTCACTCAGTAAATAATTCAATTAAATTCCATATTCGGAACCGATCATTTAAATATTACTAAACACAAATTCTAAATTTTATATTGATCATTCGAATATACATGTTAACATCAGGCCCATAGCTTTATGAGATAAAAAAGAAGAAAATGAAAAAATGAAAAGAAGGGAAAAGGGGAGAAAATTGGCATAAAATTTAATTTTTGTCAACAATACTATGTGTACGGGATTATTTTTCTTCAAATTAAAAGAAACATTGAGTGCTTTCTAAAGTAAATTATTTGGGTATTTTTATTTCCATCCTTGTGAAATGATTTAAATGATTTTTTTTTAATTTGAGAAGCCTATCCTTTTCAAATTCAAACTATATTCAAAATATGGCCAGGTTTAGGAGAAGCTGTTTGTAAGCTCATCCTCAAGCTTGCAGGGGATTTTTTTTCAAATTTTACTTTCGAGAAAACTGAAGATTTTCATGCCTGAGCTTTTCTTGATCTTTATAGGCGCATTTACATCCTTTAATTTTCCTGTATTATTACTAAATATTGGTAATTCGGGTCGGGATTAAAAAATTTTGAGTAGTGCATTTATTTATAGTTTAACTCAAATTTCTACATCTTCTTCCTCCAGTTTTGTATTGCTTTGATGCAAATAGCTTTACAATAAAATATCTTTCTTAATGAATAATGTGTGATAAATTTTTAGTCTTCATTTATCAATTTTGGCCCTTGTTGAGTTTATCAGGTCAACCAACGCGCCCACTACTTATATAACTATGCTATTTCGGGATTTTGTGCCCCCCCCCCCTTTACGAATTCCTAGCGACGGGCCTGGTTAACATCATAATATTTTTATCTTTATGGGACGCGAGTGCAACGTTTAAGAATATTTATTCAAATTTCGAAGATTTTTATAGCGAAGACGATACTTTCAATCAATTAATCATGTATCCACGTACAACTCTTCACTTGAGTACGACTGATCGAGAATGCCGCGTCTCAATCAGATTTTTGTAAACTCCTTTAATTTACTGGAATTTGGGTATTTATTTCATCTTTTATCTTTTTTAATTTTCATTTATTGAATGACTGCCCCTCTCCTCTCTTCCCTTCCCATTTTATGAATTCAAAATGGCTGAAATCAAGTCAGTTTATATTGTTCCCTTAAATCCTGGTAAATATTTAAATCAATTTTATCACAAGTTAGAATCTAAACAACGACTCTCCCTTCTTCCTTAATATATTTCCCTCCTCCCTTACAATGAAGTTAGTGGGCGGAACAAGAAACTGTGTGGGAATACTGGGGGTGTGACCGTACAGTGGAAGGCGTGTCTGTTCAGAAATAGTTTTGGAGAAATGGAGAATGGAGTATTGAGGAGGAATGAAGTATTGAGGAGGAATGGGGTATTGAGTAGGAATGGAGTATTGAGGAGGAATGGGGTATTGAGTAGGAATGGAGTATTGAGGAGGAATGGGGGGTATTGAGTAGGAATGGAGTATTGAGGTGGAATGGAGTATTGAGGAGGAATGAAGTATTAAGGTGGAATGGAGTATAGAGTAGGAATGGAGTATTGAGGTGGAATGGGGTATTGAGTAGGAATGGATTATTGAGGTGGAATGGAGTATTGAGGAGGAATGAAGTATTAAGGTGGAATGGAGTATTGAGGAGGAATGGAGTAATGAGTTGGAATGGAGTATTGAGGAGGAATGGAGTAATGAGTTGGAATGGAGTATTGAGGAGGAATGAAGTATTGAGGAGGAATGGAGTATTGAGGAGGAATGGAGTATTGAGGAGGATCGAATGAAGTATTGAGGAGGAATGAAGTAATGAGTTGGAATGGAGTATTGAGGAGGAATGGAGTGTTAAGGATGAATGGAGTATTGAGGTGGAATGGAATATTGAGGAGGAATGAAGTATTAAGGTTGAATGGAGTATAGAGGAGGAATGGAGTATTAAGGTTGAATGGAGTATTGAGGAGGAATGAAGTATTAAGGTGGAATGGAGTATAGAGAAGGAACGGAGAATTAAGATGGAATGGAGTATTAAGCTCGAATGGAGTATTAAGGTGGAATGGAGCGGATTAAAGAGAATAAAATTAAGAATTATTTTCCGAATTCCTCCACCCAGCCAGAAAAAAAATTTTTAAATTAGTTTTCAAACATTTTCTTTTTTTTTCTTTTTTAAGAATTTAAAATGTTCAACTTAGTTTAAAGGTGTATTCATTCTCTTTGATGTTGGTATTATTACAATGGGTCAATTGTTACTTTAACAGAACATATTAAAGGAAATGTGAGCGTAATTTTAAATGAATTTCTTACACTGCGATTTAATGGTCTCACGCTCTTAAGCTTAAATTGTTGAGAATTTTGTCAATTACTTCTAAAAAACCAAAGCTAACAACAAGTGGTTTATAGTGCTAAAATTTACATGTAAAGTGCTATGTAGACTAAGGATTATAATTGTAGGATTGAAGACTGTAAACTAAGGATTAGAATTGTAGGATTGAAGACTGTAAACTAAGGATTAGAATTGTAGGATTGAAAGCTGTAAACTAAGGATTATAATTGTAGGATTGAAGACTGTAAACTATGGATTAGAATTGTAGGATTGAAGATATGAATAATGCTGTCGAATGTTCATTGATAATGTGCTGGGTATCCCTGGCATCAATCCCTCCTTGCTCCCTAGGCTCCAGGAGTCCTTGGAGCTAAGAGACGGTAGGTTGGAGAACAGATTGGAGCTCGAGAAGGAGCTGCTTACTGGAGAACTGGAGGGGGAGGAGTATTGAGGATTTTTGAAAACGAGATTCTGTTTATCAGTTGCGTAGTTTCCTGTGCCTGGAGGCATCAGCTCTTTCGGATGGTAGGAAGCACTTTCCTTGCTGTTGTAAAGATTCTGTAAAGTTTCTTTGTTCCCGTACAAGTTCTGCAGGGTTTCTTTGTTTGTGTACAAATTCTGTATAGACTCTTTATTGGAGTACAAGTTTGGTAGGGAGGGTTCTTTGTTTGAATGCAAGTTTGGTATTGAATCTTTCCCGCCATAAATGTTTGGTATGGATTCCTTGCAGACCTGACTAGAGTACAGATTGCTTAAGTTGTTCATAGATGTCATCATAGAGTTGGGTGGGACAGACCAGTAGGCAGAGGGAGGTGGGAAGGATGGAGCAGGGGATAGTAGTCCAGGAAGTTTGGAATAGTTATATGAGTTATGTGCTAACAAGCTGTTGAAATCCGACGCATATTTATAAGATGGGTCAGCGCATTGAATCTGACACGCTTGCATTAACGCATGAAAGTCAAACTTGTAAGCATAGCGCTTTCCATGGACCTTCGTCATTATGTTCTTATCATAATAATAGCGCAGTGCTCGGCTCATTTTGTCATAATTCATGTTTGGTTTGGATTTTCTCTCCCCCCATCTTCTCGCAACCTCGTCGGGGTCACTTAGTTTAAACTCTCCTAAAATTAATTTAATTAATAAAATATTAAAATTTTCATAATCATAAAAGAAACAAAATGAACATTTAGATATAGAATATCAAAATAGACGTTCAGATCCATCTAGATTATCTAAATGAATGTTTAAATCTTTATATGTAGAATATCAAAATGGATGTTTAAATCTTTTTATGTAGAATATCAAAATGGATGTTTAGATGTATCTAGAATATCTAAATAGATGTTAAGATGTATCTAGAATATCAAAATAGATGTTTAGATGTATCTAGAATATCTAAATAGATGCTTAGATGTATCTAGAATATCTAAATGGATATTTATGTATCTATAATATCAAAATGGATGTTTAGATGTATCTAGATTAGAATATCAAAATAAATATTTTGATCAATCTAAAATTCAAAATGGCGTTTCATGTCTGTAATTATGTACCTGTGGTCCCCTCCCAGCTGATAATGGCGGTATTTGATGAGTCAGCAAGAAGTTCTAGAAGAAACTGCCACAGCTGAATCTGGCCAGATCCCTGGGAGACCAAACCACGTGATGTGTGAGACAACATGGCGTACGGATCTATACGAAAAAAATTTAATCATAGTTGTTGGATTTTACATGTAGAAACTGATTATTCGCTACAAACTCTAAATTTCCAATCCCTGTATCTTTGCAACCTGATGGTCTAAATATTCTATATCTCAAACTGAGACTGTATGACGTAACATAAATTATAGTTTAAAATAACAAAGATCAACGATATGAGGTTGCAACAATAAAGGGATAAGTAAAATTATAATTAGCAAAAAAAGTATAGATTTTACAAACTGTACTATTTTTTATCCCTGGGTTAAAAGATTTAAAAGTTCCAAAGTGCTTAATTTTATTTTTAGTTTAAAAGGAGGCTTTGGCTAAATATTGATAGATTTTTACACCCCAGAGTATAAAGTGATAAATTCTTTGTAGAGTGTGAGAGGGGTATAGGGTTTATCCAACCTTGATGTACAGATTCTTTAACTGCTGAGTAGGGTGTATCCCACCTTGATGTGCAGATTCTTTAACTGCTGGGTAAGGGGTGAGAGGAGGAGGGTAGGGTGTATCCTACCTTGATGTACAGATTCTTTAACGCTGGGTAAGGGGTGAGAGGAGGAGGGTAGGGTGTATCCTACCTTGATGTGGGTAAGGGGTGAGAGAAGGAGGGTAGGGTGTATCCTACCTTGATGTGCAGATTCTTTAACTGCTGGGTAGGGTGTATCCTACCTTGATGTGCAGATTCTTTAACTGCTGGGTAGGGGGTGAGAGGAGGAGGGTAGGGTGTATCCTACCTTGATGTACAGATTCTTTAACTGCTGAGTAGGGTGTATCCTACCTTGATGTGCAGATTCTTTAACTGCTGCGTAGGGTGTATCCTACCTTGATGTGCAGATTCTTTAACTGCTGGGTAGGGGGTGAGAGGGGGAGGGTAGGGTGTATCCTACCATGATGTGCAGATTCTTTAACTGCTGGGTAGGGGGTGAGAGGAGGAGGGTAGGGTGTATCCTACCTTGATGTACAGATTCTTTAACTGCTGGGTAGGGGGTGAGAGGGGGAGGGTAGGGAGAGTTCCAAAAATTTCTTCGCGCCAAATCTTGTCCGTCGTCCCCTAGAAATATTCATTGTTAAAAATAACAATCTAATCTAATCTAAATTTATACAATGTCCTTGTTTTTTATTCCATTTTGGCTAAACAAAATTAGGAAATGTGAAGTTTAAAGTAATTCTATTTTTTCATCATCTTTATATTATAAGACCTATAAAACTATGGAATAGGAAAATGGCATTTCAGCAATTTGATTTATATTTAATGTTGTTGTTATAAACCAAATAGTTTGACCAGTAGCTTGAATCCACTACTTAAGACTATTTAAGTGAAATAAGTCTAATTCTAGTACACTGCCCATTGGCTGGGTTTAATATTAATGGGGGGGGGGGTGCACGGTGCAACCCCCTTTTTTGAAGGCAAAGGGGGTGCACAGGCAGCGAAGCTGTCGGCTTATTTTGCTTTTTATTTATTTAATTGAGAAGATTTAACAACTGGAGTCATTCATTAATGTTGATATGGCTGTCAAGGAATTTTTAAAAAAATCTCCTGGATTTGAAAAACTTGTCAAAAGGAAAATATTCTGAACGTTAATAATCTCTGTAAAGACAAGGGAAATAAACTTTATTTGGGAAAGATATTTGTCTCTTTTTTATCAATTTTAACTGCTTCCTTGTATAATTCCTGCCTCAGAACATAAAAATCTTGAAGTTAAACTATTTTATTAAAAAAAAGTTTTAACATACATCTAAAATTGAAAGAAAGTCAACGTTGATGTTTTTAATCTTTTTTCCTTTCGCTAAATAATTAATCTTCATCATTGATGTTTTTTTATATAATTTTTGAATTAATATATTTTGTTTAAAATGTATTAAAAAATGTCAGTAAATGTGTCAACAAATGCCAGTTTTTCTTTTATAATTGTGTCAATAATAAAATTTCCTGGCGCTTTTTTTCCCAAATGTGCACCCCTTTTCCAAAATCCTAGTTATGGGCCTGATTATCCCATTTAGTCTCATGAATTACTGTATTCATATTTCAAGGTAAACTAGAAAAGTATAGTTCAACTATAGATCTGCATAGTTGAACAACTTCTCTACTGCCAATAAGGTAAACTAGAGAAGTGGTTCAATAAAACGTACGCAGTTGAACCGCTTCCTGGTATTTATAAATTCCTACCTCGTCCTCAGGACATGAAAATCTTTTTTATTACCATACATCTAAAATTGTAAGAAATTTTGCGTTGATTTTAAAATTTTTTCCTTTGGCTAAATAACTTTTTTATAAATTTTAAAATAACATGTTTTGTATAAGATGTCAGTTTGTAAAATATATGTGCCAACAAATGTCAGTTTTTATTTTATAATTGTGTCAAAAATAAAATTTCCCGAAGCTTTTTTCCCAAATGTGCACCCTCTTTCCAAAATCCTAGTTACGGGTCTGATTGTGCCATTTAGTCTCATAAATTGCTATATTCGTATTCCACAGCTTTATGAGTCTCACTGTAGAATCCGGAAATATTTTAGTTGCTTAAGTTAAGTAGAAATTTTGAATGTTTTAATAAGAAATTTGCGAGGATCGAATAATTAAACCATAACCCTAGTTGAAATACACGCTTTTTTTAGATTATATCAATCTTTATTCTATCTTCATATATATTCGGCTTGTCTGCTTGCGTGTATTAATGTCAAAACCACTAAAACCTATTTTTTTGTGGCAACCCACATTTACCGGAAAAGTTAAATGGTTGGTCCTAATTGAAATATTTTGTCTGGAAAAAATGTCGACATGTACAATCTGCGAAAATGTAAAATTTAAAGGTTTACTTTTAGATTTAATAATTAATTTAATTTGAAGAAATAAATCCATTGAAAGTAGTCCCACTTTCTAGAACTATTAAATTATAATTTAATTGCATAATAGAATTAAACCGCGCTAAATTCATTATCACACTTTGGTTTTATAATACATTTCACATTTTTTTAATTAGAAAGGCTTAACAAATTTTAAAGAATATCTATCTTTTTTAACGATAATAGTTTGAGTACGCAGCGTTGCCCAAAGAACTCATTACTCATTTTAGCTATTTTTCTCTTCTTAGAATCTTTACTTTACTATTCTATATATTAAAAAAACTGTGCATCAAAAAATAATTTCTTTGTAAATCCACCAATTAAAAACAGAAAATCTGGGAAAATGTTTAGTTTTTTAATGTACGAAGATAACATTTAAGAATAAATTTACTATAAAAGCGCCATGAAAGTCTAATATTGCTATAATCTCACAATGGGTTTAAAAATAACAACAATCTTTAAATGTTCAGTAAAATATATAATGACCAAGTTTTATAGAAAATGGTGTGTCATTTATTGGGCGTTTTTATCTTACCGTTATATAACATTTTATTCATCTTTTATCTGGATCTTGCTCTGCAACTTCTTGTGAATTTTGGGTGCTCGATCAATTAAGCATATTGTTCAGCAGGACTTTGCGATTCTTAGTTTTAATCTTGATCTGCTATTTTATCGCAAGATTGTTTTACTCTGTGCTTTTTTAAGGTGTTTTTGATTGATTTTGGGCTACAGGTTGAGCTAATAAGGTTAACCCTTTAATATATCCAATGTATCCTGTGTATATCCTGTGTATATCCTATATTCGTATATCGGAAGCAAACCAAATTTCCAGACGGAAGGAACTGGAGCGGGCGGAAGGAGGTAGTGGCGGGAACTATGAAGTTTCAGCTTCCTTCCTTCTTCCTGCCAGTTCCGGTCCTCCTTCCGCCTCTCGACTCCTCCCCCTCGCCTCCTCCACCCCTTCTCCAGCCAAGGGCCCGCCCATCATACATCAATCATCAAGCTGTCTTAACTCATTCAGGCATTTATTGTTTAAAATCATCAAATTAGTTAAAAATCCGCCGTTTTATTAAAGAACACCCCGCGAAAATTTAACATTTTGGTGGATTTCCTATTCCAGGCCCAGCAGAGCGGATATCCGTATACGTGTTGAGGTCGGAGAAGATAGGAACCGTTTAACCAATCAGAGATCAGGGATTCCGGAGGCCAGAAGATCTAACCAATCACAGAGCTCCGTAGCATCTCTTAACATTGCCAAGATAAAAATCCTTTTCTACAAATCCATTTATTCATCCATTTCTATATCCTCTCAGCGCCCTTCTTATCATCTTATCACACAGCCTTTCAAATCTAGCTTCTTATCAAGATTTCTTTTCAAGAAATGAAACGAAAATATTGTAGATTTTATCATTTTTTACTTTCCTTGAATGGAATAGAGGTTAAGCTTAAAGTTTATGTCGTAAATAAACCTTTATTATAGAATTTCTAAACTTTCCTCATAAATTTTAGCTTGAGTATTAGGTTGGCATTGAAATAGAAATATTCCTACAGAAAATTTTATAAAGAAATCTGCATAGGGATGGGGTAAATTAATCAAATTAATTTGAATCGACGTATGTTATAAACTTCGTCGATTCAACCAGTTTTAAAATCATGAAGTTGTTCGGACATTATAAATTTTCTCCCTTTAAAAGATAAAGAAATTAAGTCTTTGCCAAAAACTCTGATTTTCTAATCCTTTATCTAAATATCCTTGGCAAACAAATATATATTTTATATTATCAACTCTGTTAAATAAAATAATCCAAGTTTGAAATAACAAACGTTTACACCATCAAGTTGCAAAGATATAATGATTAAAAAATTTTAGTAATTTTCAAAGACTTGAATTTTAAATATTTGTCTTGAATTTAAACTTGAGAAAAGCGTTTGACTAAATAACTTTGAAAAACAAAAATATTGAAGAATTTGGAATATTTTAAATTGTTTAACATTTCTTAAAGATTTGTTTAGTTGTTTCAGTCGTTTGGGCTAAATTTGATCCCTTTAAACAAGAACAATTGTGGATTCACTGTGATATCGTTTTTTCTTTCTATATCAGCTAAACTTGGTTCCACGTGATCTTGCCAGGCTACATTTGTTGCAACAAAGTAACTGATCGCTTATTTTTAAATCCCTGTAGCCTCGAAACCTTATCTTTAAATCCCTGTAGCCTCGAAACCTTATCTTTAAATCCATGTAGCCTCGAAACCTTATGACGTAAACCTTCTAAATTCAAAGCAGTAAGAGTACAAAATGTTATCATTGCACAATAGAAAGACAAATTAGGAGCTAACAGTTTCTGGGTATATTCTGGGAATATAAAGAAACGGACAGTGTAAATTGCGGATAGTCGTCTCTGAAGTCTCATCCTTTGTTTGTAACCCTGTATATATATATATATATAAATCTATAATATGTATATGTATCTGTATATCTATATATGTATATATGTATATACCGATATACTGACTACTCCTACTCCTACTCCTACTCCTACTTCTACTTCTACTCCTACTCCTACTCCTAATCCTACCACTACTCCTACTCCTACTTCTACTCCTACTCCTACTCCTACTCCTACTCCTTTGTATGAATATGTATTATGTAATTCGACCAAATCCAATGTAAACTTTTATGTATCCATTTTATCTATTTATCTATCTATCTATCTATTTATCTATCAGATATATAAAGTCTCCTAAATCCATATAAAGTCCAACTTGATGATTATCTATTTAATATAAACGCTGGAGGGATTTAAGGATGGAGAGATCACAAGAATTCATGAATAGATAAATAGATGAATAGATGAATAGATGAATAGATGAATAGATAAATGAATCAATGAATAAATCAACGAAAGAATGAATGAGTGAAAATATGAATGAAATGATCAATGAACTGATAAATGAATTGCTGCTAGAGAAGGATGGATATGAACAGAATGAATAAGGAAAATAAAAAAAGAAATGGCTAAATCTAGGATTAGGGATGAACTAGGAAATAAAAGGATCAATTATGAAATAACCAGTTAGATAAATGAATAAAATAAAGGAATAATAATTCCTGAATCATTGATCATTGACCAAGGATGAATAGGGAAAATTAAAGGAAGGATGAATGAATGAAAGGATTAAGGGATGAATAAATAAAGAATAACTGAATTAATAAGGCATATTAAAAAAGGATGAATAGTAGAATGAATGCATGAATCATTTCGTATAAGGATGAATAGGGAAAATTAAAGGAAGGATGAATGAATGAAAGGATTAAGGGATGAATAAATAAAGAATAACTGAATTAATAAGGCATATTAAAAAAGGATGAATAGTAGAATGAATGCATGAATCATTTCGTATAAGGATGAATAGGGAAAATTAAAGAACGGATGAATTTATGAAAGGATTAAAGGGAAGGATGAATAAAGAATAAATGAATGAATGAGAAATATTAAATAAAAGAATTAATAATAGGATGAATGCATGAATCATTGCCTTTAAAGATGAATAGGGAAAATTTAAGAACAAATGAAAGGATGAATTAATGAAAGGATGAATAAAAGGAAGGATGAAAGGATGAATGAATGAATGAATAAAAGGATGAATAAATGAATGAATGAATTGACTGCGGTTCTATTTTGTCAGTTTTATTGAGTAAATGTCCTAAATAAAATTATTATTCTTGGATTCAATTCTTTCTTCATTTCTTCAATATTCTTCAATATTCTTCAATATTTTTCTTGACGAATTCGATTCTTCAACTTCCGATCATTGAATATTGAACCACAGTGATTTAAAGAGGTTACATTTATTTTTAAATCATAGTAATCCATCTTACTCCTACTCCTACTCCTACTGCATAGTGATCCATCTTACTTCTACTCCAACTCCTACTGCAAAGTGATCCATCTTACTCCTACTCCTACTCCTACTGCACAGTGATCCATCTTACTCCTACTCCTACTCATACTGCACAGTGATCCATATTACTCCTACTCCTACTCCTACTGCACAGTGATCCATCTTACTCCTACTTCTACTCATACTGCACAGTGATCCATATTACTCCTACTCCTACTCCTACTGCAAAGTGATCCATCTTACTCCTAATCCTACTGCACAGGGATTTATATTTCATAGTTTATTTATCTCTATTTAAACTTAATTTTTAGTATTTCTCTTGTCTAATTGTACGGTTTTGAAAAACTTGTTAAATTTTAAATAATTAAAAATGTAGTTTTATTTTCTCACATAACCTATAAACGGTATATATATAAGTCATAAAACTTAATAAGGTCTAAACTATTTAAACCGGTAATCCCTTCATAAATCACTAATTCGTAGCTTATGTAATCCGATGGATTAAGTTAAAGTTCTTTCTGGATATATCTAGAGAGTTCCTCCCTGCACCCACTCCAACAAAAGATCGCAAAAAGCTGTTTTTCATGAATTGCAACAAAGTGACCGCTACGAATACTGAAATAAGGTTATAATAATAAGCGCTATTCGAATTCGACTTCGTTGCTAAAGTAAAAACTTGTGTGTTTTAGTGTTTAATGTACATGTGTACGTTTGTTGTGTATTGTGTATATAGTGTACGTTTGTTGTGTATTGTGTATATAGTGTACGTGTGTTGTGTATTGTGTATATAGTGTACGTGTATTGTGTATTGTGTATATAGTGTACGTGTATTGTGTATTGTGTATATAGTGTACGTGTATTGTGTATTGTGTATATAGTGTACGTGTATTGTGTATTGTGTATATAGTGTACGTGTGTTGTGTATTGTGTATATAGTTGTACGTGTGTTGTGTATATAGTGTATCCCTGGAAAGAAAAAATCTGAATAATAAGAGTATTTATATTCTAAAAGCTTAGAAACAAAGTTTAACCATTGAGTGGCTTTATTTCGGTTTAATGTGCGCTTTTAGTACTTTATTAGATGTGTTTGTGACTGTTAGAAGTTTGTGTGTGTTTACAAGCTGGTAATACAAAAAAGCATAGAAATAAAGAAATTTAGTTTTGTGACAAACATTTCTTTAAAAGTTCCAAAGGTTTAAACTTATAAGCTTAAATTTAAATACTGTCTAATTTAAAATTTTCTTTTAAATTATTTAATATAAACTTTAGTTCAATCATATTTTCCGTATTAGAAAGAAAAAATTAAAATTTTTACTTATGGCTTTATTTTAACTCTGTCATCATGATAATAATAATAATAATAATATTTAAATAAAGGAGGTATTACAATTTTCTCCTTTTTAAATCTAGCTGTGACTAAAAATCCGCCAAAGTTGTTTTCTCAAAATAAATCCTGAATGATATTATTTAAAAAGTTGAATGGAAAGTTGAAGAGCGGTGTCAAAGGGTAAGAACAAGGGGGGGGGGTTCAAGGGGGGGGGGGAGAGATGAGGGGTTGGTGATATTTTCATTAGATATTGTAGACAGCTTGTTCAATATATTATATTATATATATATATATACACTAGATGGATAGATAGAAAGATGACATTGTAACCTGTACATAGTGATGGCTATCGTTTTCATGAATTTAGTTTTTTGAACGTTACAAGTGTTTGACAAAAATGTCAGTTATTAAGTAAATTGCAAAATTTGAGACGTTTGCTTCAATTACATCATGCGAATTTTCTCTCTGAGCAAAGATATTTGTAACGATCTAGCCCGTCTCTCCAAGCCTAAACTTTATAGCTAAACTGCCTCAAACTCTTTAACTATCAGTCAATCCCGACTGCTGTATGGCTAAACGCCTCAAACTATAACTATCAGTCAATCCCGACTGATGTATAGCTACATGCCTCAAACTCTAAGAATCAGACTACCCAGTCTGATTCCGTCTATACTGAACAACAGATTGTATTCAACT